AGGTGTGAAGGCTCATGGTTAACTTCAGATATCTTTTTTCCTTCTGCTTTATCTTATTTTTTTATTTCATCTCTCACTAAGCTTACAGCTTGCTACTTTTGGCTAGACTGTCATTAAGCCCCCAGGAACTACCTGTCTCTGTTCTCCTCCAGTTCTGAGGTTATAGGCGTACACCACAACATCTGACTTTTCCATCTTATATTTTAAATTTTTATTTATTTTATGTATATGCGTGTATTGCCTGTATAATGTAGGTAAGTGCACCGTGTTGTGCAATGCCCTGGGAGGACAGAAGAGGCCGTTGGATCCCCTAGGACTGGAATTATGGACAGTTGTTAGCTGCCATGTGGGTGCTGGGAACCTGGGTCTTCTGCAAGAACAACCAGTGTTCTTAACCACTGAGCCATCTCTCCAGCCCCTATTTTTATTTTTTTATGTGTATGAGTGTATTTCCTGCATGTATGTAAGTGCACCTATGTTGTGGACTACCTGAAGATGTCAGAAGAGGACGTTAGATCTCCTGAAACTGGAGTTATGGATGGTTGTTAGCCACTATGTGGGTGCTGAGAATTGAACCTGGGTCCTCTGCAAGAGCAGCCAATACTTTTAATCGCTGAGCCATCTCTCCAGCCCCTCCATCTTGTATTTTTGAGGCAGCATTCATCATTGAACTTTGATTAGACTGGCTAGCCAGTGGTCCATTGGATCTGCCTGTCTCAGCTCTCTCCAGCACTGTGGTTATAGGTGTGCACTGCCACACCTGGTGTTTATATGGGTGCTGGAGATCTGAACTCAGGTCCTCATGTTTGTTCAGCAGACATTTTACCCAACGAGCCATCTCCCCATTCCCAACAATGTCAAGACCTGTGTTAGTGCTAGAGGGGTTAAGCTGGGGACCCAGGAAACCAGGACTCTTTTTAAAAAGCCTGTTCACTGCCACAGAGGACTTGCACTGGGGAGAGTAGGATGGAAGTGGAGAGGCTGCTGTAGCTTTTGGGAGACATGGCAGGGCTGAGAGATGCAGGTGGGTGGATGCAGCAGATGGAGAACAGCAGCGTTTGCAGTGGAAAATGCATGGGTGGGAACTCACAGGCTTAGAGCTTGCCATATGGGGAGGGGGCAGGAGGTGTCCCAGATGAATGAGAGGTTTGGAGCTTGTGTTTGGGGGAGGGGAGATGGGACTGGAGTGGAGGTCCTAAAGAGGATGCTCAAGGAGATGCTGTATCATGTCCCGAGTATGTGTGGGACACATGGAGAATGTGGCTCATGACTCAGGGCTGGAGAGTGGGAGACTGAGTATCAGGATCAGCTCCAAAGAGGAGCTGATAGTGGGTGGAGTGAGCAATAGAGGGGGCTAAGGGCCAGAGCCTAGAAGTTTACTAGCCAGAGAGGGGCAGTGGGCTGCCCAAGGCCACACAAGTGAGAATGGAGCTGCAGGTCTGGGTCCTTGTTACCATGTCCCTGTTCCCTGGACTGGGTTCTGGGCCTGCTGCCAAATGGCAAGTTTTAGATTTCCTGCCTAATCAAGTGACTTGTCAATCAAGGCAACAAATGTTTATTGAATACCTACTATGTGTTCATAGTTTGAAAAATTTTACCTTACTGACCTGCTCATGGAAAAAAAAAAATCAGTCAAAAGCTAACTGAAAAAAAAAAGGTAAAACATATCACTTGAGGCTGGGCATAGTGGCACACACTTTTAGTCCCAGAACTCAGGAGGTGGAGGCAGGTGGATTTCTGAGAGATCAAGGGCCAGCCTGGTCTAAATAGTGAGTTCCAGGCCAGGCGGGGCTACAAACACCAACAACAAAGTCTCCCCCAAAGTATAACTTCAGCCTAGGAGAACACATGCCTGTGATCCCAGCACTCAGGATGCAGAGGCTGGAGGGTTGAGACAAGTTCAGCATCAGCCTGGTTTACATAGCTAGTTTCAGGCCAGCCAGGGTAGGTCATGAGACCCTGTCTCAAAACCCAAAGTAAAAGCATCCAAAATGTGTAATTTCTGCACCTCTGATGAAAAGTAAGACTAGTAAGTGACAAAGACACTATTTTAGACAGGGAGGCTTCTCAGAGGAGGGGATATTTGAGCAAAGATCTAAGGAAGTGAGAGAGTGAGCCATGGGGAGAACAGGAAGAGTATCTGGGCAGAGGGAACAGTATGTGCAGAGGTGCTGAGGCAAGGGCATGTTGGGCATGCGTGAAGACACCACTAAGACTGAAACAAGACAGTGAGGGGAGGGTGGCCAGAGATGGCTCCTTGCTGAGCCATTCAGTGTCCTCCTGCAATTCCTGTCCCCTATAAGAATAAGGTAGTGAAGGTTGTGAAGGATGCACAGGTCACTGTCCAGTTTTTTCCTTTCTGTTCATGCTTGTTCCCCTCACCCACCCCACAGGCTGGTACACTCAGGCCCCTCCAAGGGCTTAGTGCCCTATGATGCAGAACTCTCCTTTGCCTTGCGCACGGGCACACGTCATGGTGTGGACACTCACCTGTTTAGTGTGGAGTCACCTCAGGAGCTGGCAGCCTGGACCCGACAGCTGGTGGATGGTTGTCACCGGGCTGCGGAGGGTGTGCAAGAAGTGTCTACAGGTATCCTGTGTGGAACTGGGAATCTCTGGTAGTGAGCTCCTTGTGCCCAGAGGCATTCAAGGTTCTCTAAGAACCTTGAGATTCTGGCCACCAGTTAGATTTGAATTTCAGGTAAACAGTGACTATTTTTGTCAGTTTAAATTATTCACTGTTTATGTGAAAATTTTTTATTATTTTTTATTTTATGAATGTTTGCCTCAATATATGTTTATCACTGTGTGTCCAATGCTTGCAGAGGCCAGAGGAGGGCATCAGATCTCCTGGAACTGGAGTTACAGATGGTGGTTAGCTACCATATAGGTATTGGGAACCAAACCTGGGTCCTCTGCAAGAACAGTCAGTGCTCTTAACTGCTGAGCCTTCTCTCCAGTTCCAGGTTATGTGAAATTTAAATTTAACTAGGCAGTTCTGTGCCTTTAGGGGATGAGCCTCCTGCCCATCACAGAATCCAAGTCTCATCCTTTTTATGGAACAAACCCAGGACTTTGTACATGATAGCTACGTGTTCTACCACTGAGCCATATTCTCAGCCTAAACTTCCCCTTTCTACATGTGGTGTTGCTGGAAGTAGTGCTGTCAGCTGCAGCTGTAGGTTCTCTTGGGGCCATTCTTACATATTTCAGGGTGGGGATGACTGGGCAGATGGTTGTACAGGAGTCATGATAGTAAGCCCCCCATCCCTGGGGGTATTCAAGCCCCTGAGCTGAGTGGGGTGGGGCTGTGGTCTCTGAGGTGCCATGGTGTCTGCCTACTACCACCCTACAGCCTGCACATGGAATGGCCGTCCCTGCAGCCTCTCTGTGCACATTGACAAGGGCTTCACACTGTGGGCAGCTGAACCAGGAGCAACCCGTGCTGTGCTGCTCCGACAGCCCTTCGAGAAGCTGCAGATGTCCTCGGATGATGGCTCTAGTCTCCTCTTCTTGGACTTTGGGGGTGCCGAAGGCGAGATTGTAAGTGGAGGGCCACCTCTGCATCCTGGCGGGGGGGAGCGGGGAGGGTGTGTGCTCTCCTGGAGGCCAGGCTGGACAGAGCCCCTGACACTTTCCTTTGTCTGCTCTGCAGCAGCTGGACCTTCACTCCTGTCCCAAAACCACGGTCTTCATCATTCACTCCTTCCTCTCGGCCAAGGTCACCCGCCTGGGGCTCTTGGCCTAGAAGTTGCCAGATGCACTAGCCCTGAAGAGGATGGTTCACCCCATGGCCTCACCTGTCCCTCTGCTGACTGCCTGCTCACTCACAGGCGAGGGAAGGGAGAGGAGAGGAACAAGGACCTCACAGACCCAGCCCAAGGGAGGCTGGCTAGGTCTTGGAGAGCAGAATTCAGACCTGGGACACAGTGGGTCTGGCCTGTGATGGGGTAGCCTTCCTGCTGCCCACCTCCACCAGTGCCTTTTGCAGAGAGATATTTTGTGTATGCAGAAGCCATTCCTAGCCTGGGACCTGCCCCTGTGGGGATCCCCAGTCAACAACAGAGCTGCCAGGCCTCCTAGAGGCCCCTAAGCCACCCTGGAGATCTCCTCTGCAGCTGGAGTCTCCTGGATTAGTGGCAAGAGAAAGAAGAGGAGTCTTTCTGTTCATGTTTCCCCTCAGCCCCACAACCATGGGGTGTCTGGTTTTTCTCTTCATCCTCTCTCTCCTCCTTCCTCTTGGATAATAAATAGCCTGTGAGCACATAGGCAGCCTGACTCAATGTCTGTTTGTGTCTTGACATTTAGACCCTGAGTTGGCCCCTGAAGTTCGAAGAAGAATCAAAGATTTCCGAGCCTTTCTTGGAGAGCTGGGCTTCAAAATGAATATAGAGTTTATCCATGCTATGTAATAAATTACCCTACAGTTTAATAGTTTAAACAACAAACATGAGCTGGAGAGATGGCTCAGCAGTTAAGAGCACTGACTGCTCTTGCAGAGGGCCCGGGTTCGATTCCCAGCACCCACATGCCAACTAACAATGTCCTTAATTCCAGTTCCAAGGGATTCGACTCCCTCTTCTGACCTCCATGGGCATGGCATGACATGGGTGCACTTACAGGCATACAGGCAATACACTCATACACATAAAACAAAAATAAATACAATATTAACAACAACAACAGCAAACATTTATTATGCCTTATGTTCTGTGGGTCAGGATTTTTTTTTAATTTTTATTTATGATTTTTATTTTATGTGTATGAGCGTATTGCCTGCATGTATGTGAATGCACCCATGTCGTGCAATACTGCGGAGGTCAGAAGAGGGCTTCGGATTCCCCTGGAACTGGAGTTAAGGACAGTTCATAGGCGCCAAGTGGGTGCTGGGAATCGAACCCGGGTCCTCTGCAAGAGCAGTCAGTGCTCTTAACTGCCGAGCTACCTCTCCAGCCCCAAGGAATTGTTTTTTTAACAAAAACTTTATTGAGAATTTCATACATGCATATAAGGTCTTTTGGTCAAATCCATGCCCACTCCCTCCCCTCCAACACCTCCCACATCTCCCCATCACATTTTTTTCTTTTCTTTTTTTCCCTTCTTTCATTTATTTATTTTTATGGGGCTTTTGGCTACTCTAACATCCCCCTCTGAAGAGGTAACCCTAAAATCTTTTAAGGATTGGATACAAGCTCCAAAATACTTTTGACATTTTTGGCCTTTGGAACAGAGTATGATGCTAACAGGCCCAAGGACATTTTGACTTTTAGCCAAGAAAGTGGCTACTTTTCTTTGGGGTCTTTTTACCCTAACTGCTCAGCCAATTCCTACCTCCTATTCTTATCACGCCATCCTCTGAAGGGGTTACCCAAATTTCCCATAGGGAATTGGGACACAGAGCGCTCTGGCTTCTTCCGTGCTGAACAGGGACGCCGGGTGAGGCAATTGGAGTACCCCTTCAGTGGGTCTATCTAAGACTCCCAAATTGCATAACTCTTATCTCTAAGGGGAAAAAGAAAGTCCTTGAATCATGAATAGGAGATGTGAAGGAGAAGTAAACGCAAGAGTAATTAGCATTACAAGCTCTAGACAGGGAACTAGAAAAAAGTCAAAACAGGGCACTTTTCAAATGTTCATATGAGAGTCCCTCGGAGTTTCTTGACAAGGGCTTCCAAAAGCATCCCTCTACTGGGTTCTTCCTCATTTTTCTTTTGTCTTCCAAGGCTGGACTCTAGAGTGATGGATTCAGGATTTGCTTTCAGGTATTTTGATAGTTGTTGGAGTAGTTAGAATCAGTGTCGTTTCCCTCTCAAAGTCTTTGAGATAACTGAGGGGTTGCTGAGGTGTATATAGTGGGTCAGGAATTTGAGAGGGGCTGAGTTGGGTTCTTGTGTGAGGTCTCATGAAATTTCAGTCAGTGAAGAAACTGCCCCATGCAGTTACTTAATGAGTCAGACCTTGTTTGGAAATTAGACACTAGAAAAAGGGGAGATGCAGGTTAGCAGAGACATCCCAGCCTGGCTTACCGATTTATCCACTTACTCACCCACGTCCCCATCGGTCCACATTATCTAGGATACACCTGTTCTATGTTAGTCCTTGGAATCAGCAGGTGATGTAGCTGAAAGCAAAGATGATAGATCTCCATCCTTGGGGAAGAAAGTCATCAGAAGCTCCCACAATCAAAGGTGTGATTCCAATTGATGAGACATAGGGAATTAACAGAGAGGACCATGGGACTTCATGTAGACCCCTTGTGATCTGGGGGATCATGAAGAGACAGGGAAGCAGATGCTATTTGGGAGGAACATGCTTTAACCAGTTGTTCCTGCAATCATACTGTGGGAAAGACCAGCCCAATCTCTGTGGCTTCAGCAACTGGTCCTTGTTTTCATGTTCCTGGGCTGTGCATTGATTAGTTTTACTAGTAAAAGCCAGGCTGGGCAGGGCAGTTTTGCTCCTGACTGTTGGCTGGGCTCCCACAGCATGCTCTAACTGTGGTAAATGAGTGGAGTACAGAGAAAAGCAAATCACACAGGCCCATCCAGCTCATCTGCCTGACAGTAGTGGGAAGGAAAACACACACCACTCATAGAGGAGTAGAAGGGGAGTGAGTAATTATCTGGTATCAGAACTCTCACCAACCAGTAGTAGATGGGGGTCGGGGAGAAACCTGCCAGGCAGCACATTCAGGCCCCAAAGCAAATGCAATACAGGGCACCCAAACTCCTGGAATCAAAGGGGTTTGCTTTTAAACCTTCATGACCCCAAATCCCACACTGGCCCAGGATTCCACAGTTGCTTCTTGACTACTGTTATAGCCCCAGTGCTCTCTGATTTGACTCTCCACCCCCGCATTCCTGCCCCACTGTAGTGTATTCCTCACAGTGGCCACTTTGTAGGCAAGGACACTCAGAGTCAGCAATGACTAGTTGACCATGGTTACCCTCTGTCAGCAGCAGAGCCCCAGCAGGAAGCTAGCCAGTCTGAGGCTGAGTCAGTCAGCCAGTGCTAAGAATAGGGCTTTGGGATCAGGCTGAACTGTGGGTAGATTACAAGCACTGGCAGGCTAGTTCTGTCAAATTGTATGAGCCTTTTCATGAGACTACTGTTTGTGTTCTCATTTTTAAATTCTATAAAATGAGCTAACCTTAATAGATTTGGGGTTTTTTTTAAATTTTGAAACAGAGTCTTCCTGTAGCCTCAGCTGGCCTAGAACTTGCTATGTAGACCAGGTTGACCTCAAACTTAAGAGATTTGCCTGCCTTTGCCTCCCAAGTGTTGGGATTAAAGGCATGTACCATCACACCATCCTCCTTATAGATTTTTTTTTGTGTGTGTGAGACATTAAAGAAATTTTATGAGACAAGATTTTGCGCTGGAGCCCAAGCTGACCTGGAACTCAATATGTTGCCTGGACTGGCCTCAAATTCTTAATCCTCCTGCCTCTGCTTCCTGAGGGCTGAATTACAAGTGTATGCCACCACACCTGAGTATACGTGTGTGTATGTATTTGAGGTTTTAAAAAAATTATTATTTCTATTTTATGTGTATGAGTGTATTGCCTGCATGTATGTAAGTGCACCTGTGTTGTGCAATACCCGCAGATGTCAGAAGAGGGCTTTTGATTTGTTTTTTGAGATTGGATTTCTCTAGGTAGCTCAGGCTAGCTTCAAACTTGTACTCTTCCTGCCTGTCTGCCTCCCAGTGCTGGGATTAAAGGCCTGCGCCACCACGCCTGGCCCCCTTGAGGTTTAAAATTTTTTTCTTTTATTTTTATGTATATGAGTGTATTGCTTACATAGTGTAAATGCATCTGTGTCATGCAATGCCCATGGAGGTCAGAAGAGGGTATTGGATTCCCCCAGAATTGTAATTACTGACAGATGTTAGCTGCCATGTGCTTGGAATTGAACCTGGGTCCTCTGCAAGAGCAACCGGTGCTCTCAACGACTGAGCCATCTCTCCAGCTTCTTCCTAGTTGATTTTAAATCACATCATGTTGATAATGAATATCAACCATCACAAGCCTCCCAAGTGCTGGGATTAAAGGCCTGCACCACCACGCCTGGCCCCCTTGAGGTTTAAAATTTTTTTTCTTTTTATGTATATGAGTGTATTGCTTACATAGTGTAAATGCATCTGTGTCATGCAGTGCCCATGGAGGTCAGAAGAGGGTATTGGATTCCCCTGAAACTGGAGTTGCAGAGGGTTGTTAACCTCCATGTGGGTGCTGGGAATGGAACCGAGGTCCTCTGCAAGAACAGCCAATGCTCTTAACTGCTGGGCTATCTCTCCAGCCTCAGATTAGAGGTTTTTTGTTTTTGTGTTTTTTGAGATAAATTTATGTAGTCCAGGTTTCGAGGTTTGTTTTGAACTTTCTCTGTAGCTGAGGCTGACCTGATCCTCCTGCTTCCACCCCATGTGGAGATTTAAGATGGGAAGCATGAGTTTGCATGTAGAACTACATACAGCATAGGAATCATCAATAGAGAAGTCCCTACTATCCAAATGAGGTAAAAAGCTCTACCTATGGGGTATAAAAGCCCCTGTCCTTTGTGAAATCGGGCCGTTTGAGCTACTAAACTTTGCTCCAGCCCACTTCCTCCTTGGAAGTGTATCTTTTTTCTTGTGTGTGTATTTATATGTTCATGTGTGTGGAAGCCATAGGCCAATGTTTGGTGTCTTCCTTAATTACTCTCCACCCTAAACATTTATTTTTTGGTCTTTTTGAGACAGGGTCTGCCTGTAGCCCCAGCTAACCTGGGACTCACTATGTATATCTGCCTGCCTCTGCCATCAAAGGCATATGCCACCATGCCCAGCCACCTTAAACATTAAAAAAAAAATATTGCATTTGTTTGTGTGTATGCACACATATATGTCACTGCATGTATGTGAAGGTCAGAAGACAACTTGTGGGAGTCTGTTCTCTCCTTCCACGATGTGGGTCCCATGGATGGAATTCATGTCATCAGGCTTAGCAGTAAACACCTTTACCCACTGAGCTACCTTACTGCTCATCTACCTTACTTTTTGAGACAGTCTCTCTCTGACCCTGTAGCTCATTGATTCTACTAGACTAGCTGACCAGCAAGCCTAAGGACCCTCCAATTCTCTCCCCAGTGCTGGGATCACAGGTGTGATGCAGTGCTCATCTTTTTACTGGGGTGTTGGGGTGGGACTCAGGTCCTCATGCTTGTACGGTAAGCACTTTACTGACTGAGCCATCTCGAGTCCCTTATCTCTGCTCAGTTCTTTGTTGGGGAATAGAAGAACCTGGAACCCCTTTGGAGGTGCTGATTGGACTCCAATATCTGCTGCTATTATTAGGTATTGCTTCTGGGAAACCCAGACTAAGACAGAAAGCAACCATTTATACATCCAACAAGTATTTTGTTTGAAATTTTATTTATTATTTTTATTTTATGTATATGTGTGTACTGCCTGCATGTAGGTAAGTGCACCTATGTTGTGCAATGCCCGTGAGGACAGAAGAGGCTGTTGGATCCCCTGGGACTGGAGTTACGGACATTTGTTAGCTGCCATGTGGGTGCTGGGACTTGAACCCGGGTCTTCTGCAAGAACAACCAGCGTTCTTAACCACTGAGCCATCTCTCCAGCCCCCGAACGAGTACTTTTTGAGTCCTATGAATCCGACCTTGTGTAGAGGGTGAGCATATTTCAATGAACAGGACAGTGTATTTCTGCTCTCAAGAAGCTCATAGGCTGGGTGTGGTGGCATTTAGTCCCAACACTCCAGAGGCAGAGGCAGTAGGATCTCTGAAAGTTTGAGAATAGCCTGGTTTTTAAAGTGAGCTCCAGGTCAGCCAGTGCTATGTGGTAAGACTCTCTTTCCCCCTTCCCCCCAAATGATTGGTGATGATTATTACTGTGAAGAAAATGTTGTGATAAGTGATGGGAATAGTTATATCAGATAATCAGAGAAGACTTCTCTGCTGGCAGACTAATATTTAAGCTGAGAGGTAAAGGATAAGCCAATTGACCAGGGCACACTTACAGTCCCAGCATCCAGAAGGCAGAGGCAGGAGGATTGCACCTGGGAGGCTGAGGCAGGAGGATTACTGTGAGTTTTAAGTTAATCTGGAGCTACACCGTGAGTTCCAGGCCTGCCTGGGATATAAAGTGAACCACCCCCGACCAAAAAAATCAAGCCAAACTCTCCCCTGCAACATAAAATTCTTTGGGGTGGACTGTATCCTGATTTATTTGGATTCCCTTGGCTTTGAATAAACTGGATTCTTTCTACTAACTTCTGTCTTTAAGGTTTCAACCAAATGAACAATAAGGACTTTAGATTCTAATAACAATTAGCCTGTCCTGTCCAACCTTCCACCCACCTCCCTGCCAAAAAGCCTGCTTAGATCATCCTGGAACTTGGGGTCTTCACCTTCATGCTGTCAAGTGTGGAGACCACAGGTGTTTAGCACCATGTATGGTGAGTCACTGACTTTTAAGAGTGAACTGCCTTCTGGTTAGTTGGTACTATATGGTTCAGCTCAGCCATTAAAAAAGTATTATTGGCGGGGGGGGGTCGGTCAGAAGACAACTCTCAGGTGTCAGCTCTTTTCAGAGTGGGATCCAATCACAAAACAAAAAATAAAACAAGCAAGGCAAGGCAAATCCACTGTTTCAGATGGTATCTTGGTGGGAGTAGAGCAGAAAGAGGCCAGGAGGGTGCGCCTCCTCCCTGTTACTGTGATCTGCTTTAGAATCTGAGCTGTCCATCTACAATTTGTGCTTCTATAAAATGTTCACATTTTAAAAGTAGGTGCTGCAGTGACGCTTGAAAGCCACCTACGCTACACAGGGTGGTTCTGACTTTAGAGCTCTGATCTGGCTGAATCCTGTTGTCAGCATCTTCCTGAGTGTAGGGTCTAGAGGTCAGGTCTAGCCTAGAAGAGGCACCTTGACCACAGGCATGTCCCATGGGGAGGGGAGAGTGGTTGAGAGAGTCAGGCTGTGCCATGTGACACGGATAGGGGAAGGAGGTGCTAGGGAACAACTGGGCTGTCCAGAGCCATCTGGGAGATTCAGGAAAGGTAAGACAGATTTTAGAGCTGGTCTAATCCCCTCTAGCCATAGAAACCCATAAGCCATGGAAGCCAGAACAACAGTCCTCTGGGCCATCTACCTTCCCCTCTCACTTCCTCTCCCTCTCCCTCCCCGCCCCCTTTTCTCCACTTCCCCCTTTCTTTTGGTCTTTTTGAGACAGGATCTCCCTGTAGCCCCAGTTGCTAACCATAGAAACTCATAAGCCATGGAAGCCAGAACAACAGTCCTCTGGGCCATCTACCTTCCCCTCTCACTTCCTCTCCCTCTCCCTCCCCTCTCCCCCCCACCCTTTCCTCCACTTCCCCCTTTCTTTTGGTCTTTTTGAGATAGGATCTCCCTGTAGCCCCAGTTGGCCTAGACCTTGCTATGTAGACCAGGCTGGCCTTGAACTCACAGAGCTTATCTGCCTCTGCCTCCCAAGTGCTGGGATCAAAGGCATGTGCCGGCTCGCTCTTTCTTTTCTCTTTGCTTTGCTTGCTTGCTTTTCCCCCTGCTTTTTTTCTTCTTTTTTACTTTCTTTCTCTCTCTCTCTCTTTCTATCTCTCTTTCTTCCTTTCTCTCTCTCTCTCACATTTATTATCGTGTGTGTGTGTGTGTGTGTGTGTGTGTGTGTGAGAGAGAGAGAGAGAGAGAGAGAGAGAGAGAGAGAGAGAGAGAAAGGGAGGGGGAGGGAGAGAGAGAGAGAGATAGAGAGAGGCCTGACTGGGTCACTTTTCTTAAAGGACCTCTTTCGAGGGGAAGAGGTGAGGAGAGCGCATCTGGCAGGAGGAGCATACAGGTGATACAAGGCCATGGAAGAAGCCAGGAGTCCCTACTCCAGGGCAGAGCACCCCTAAGAATCTCTCACTCTTAGGGCTATTACAGATACAGATCCTGGCTGCATGTCTATAGCTAAGGCTGCCCAGCCGACCAACCTGCCGTCCTGTGTTGTGTCGTCCGTGTCCATGTCCCCCACCTCCCCCGTAAGCTGTGTGTGGTGGCACACGCCTTCAGGAGGCAGAGACAAGCAGATCTCTGTGCGTTCGAGGACAGCCTGGTTTACATAGCAAGTTCGAGGCCAGCTGGGGCCACAGGGAGACTCCGTCTCAAAAAGCAAACAAATAAACGACTTGTGCTTATCATATGAAGAACTGGGTCTCATACCCACTGTATTTTTCCAAAGTCAGTAGTCTGGGTTCACCAAGAGTTTAGTGAGGAAGCTCTTTCGTTGGGACATCTCGGGCTGGCGGAACAAAAGTTGCATACCTAGGCGCGCAGCGGCGGACGCTCAAGAGTGATGACAGGGCGCCGACTGACAGACCTTCCGGTTCCGGAAGTCGGACCTCGCTGCTGCGGGAGGTGAGTGGCTTGAGACGCACCTGGTCTGCTGCCCTGTGGGTGACCCGTGCAGGGGCAGGCGGGCTCGCGGAGGCCTGGGCATACCCGGAGTTCCAGGGGAGATGGCTCTGTGCGGCGCGGGGACCGGAGTGAGACCGCAGCCCCGCCGCTTCCTCCCGCACGTCCTTGGCCAAGTCACTCACCGCCCTCTGAGCGCTAGTTCCTTGCGAAGTAGAGACCGGGTCTAATCAACGTCGCTGGGTGGCTGTGAGGGTTCCCGCAGCCCCCGCAGCCCTTCGTGGAAAGCCCTTTGCACCACGGCTAGCACGTTGTAGCCACTCAATAAGATGTTTGGGATGTGGTAGACCCCCTGCCAGGTTAGAGACCGCACAGAGGCGCTGGTGCTGTGCAAATCGTCTTTAATTTCCGCATTTGATCTTCACAGCAGACTTAGAGCAAATACCCGCCGCATTTCACACACTCAGAGATGAAGGCTTCAGGGGTTGCCTGGCTATGCAGCAGTGGGGTCACATTCTGACTGCAAGGATATGTATGCTCTTAACTATGATGCTGTGAAAAGAGGTGTGGGCTGTGAATGAGTGGTCACTGAACTCTTAGTTTGCCAAGTTGGGTGTCCCCTTTCCCCTTAAAAAAAATTAGTGCTGGTGTGAGCATGCACATGGCACAGCGTGTGTGTGTGTGTGTGTGTGTGTGTGTGTGTGTGTGCCAGAGGACAGCTCTTGGGGGTCAATTCTCTCACTTGGGTGCTCTGGGCTTGGAAGTGACATTGTCAGACTTGGGCAGCAAGTATTTTTACTTGCTTGACCATCTTGCTGGCCCCCAAATTGGGTTAAAAAAATTTTTTTGTGTTTTTCTTTGTTGCCCCTGCTGGCCTGGAACGGAGGCAATATTTCTGCCGCAGCCTCCTGAATACTAGAATTATAGGCATGAGTCACCATGCTTGTCTGGGTTTTTAAATCTTTAATTCTCATAACACATGGTTAGATGATTAGGGACTACCTGTACCACTTTTTAAATTTATTTTTTGACAGATGTGACATTTGTAGTCTACAGGTAGGAATTTGACTTGCCAAAGGTCACATAGGAAAGGGCAGAAGTAGATTTTAAAGCTCACACCTAGGCATCAAGACAGCTCATATAAATGCACACACAGTAAGTAAAAACGTAATTAAAAAATTTAAAACCACACTAAAAGTCTGTTGTCCTCTGACACTTGAGAATAGGATAGCATTCTATGTGTGTGTATGCATGCCACAGCATGTTTTGGGAGTCAGAAGACAACCTATGGCTCTTTCCTCCACCATGAGGTCTCAGGGATTGGGCTCAGGTGGTCAGACTTGACAGCAGATGCCTTTACCCACTGAGCCATCTCACCCACCCTACTTTAGTTTTTTCCAACTGTAAATTAGAGATATTAAGAGACCTCTTGCTCTATTGTTCAGGCTGTCCTGGAACTCCTGGGCTTAAGTGAGCTTTCTACTTGAGCCTCCCAAGTTGCTGGGACTGTAGGTGCACACTACCATGATTGAAGTGAGATAAATTATTATTTTTATTTTATGTGTATGAGTGAATTGCTTGCTTGAATTTAAGTGCATCCATGTCAGAAGAGGGCATCAGATTCCCTGGAATTGGAGTTATGGACAGTTGTAAGTCACTATGTGGGTGCTGGGAACTGAACCTGTGTTTTCTGCAAGAGCAGCCAGTGCTCTTAACTGCTGAGCCATCACCCCAGCCCTGAGATAAATTATTAAGAACACTTTTGAAATGGGCCCATGCCTGTGATCCTACACTCAGGAGGCCAAGGCAAGAAGAAATGAGGAGAGTCTGAGCATAGACTGGGCTACATTATGAGAACCATCGTGAGTCTAAGCTGCATAGTGAGAACCGGGCCAGCCAGGGCTGCATAGTAGGAGCTTGTTTCAAAAAACCAAAAACAAAGAATGAACAAATAGTCAGCCCCTCCCCCGAAGTCTGGACTACATAGTGTGTTCCAGGCCAGCCCAGGATATCACTGGGATTATGTCTATACCCCTTATGCTCTCCCCAACTCCAAAAAATGCTTCCTCATGGGCTTTTGTGAGGGGAAATGAATTAATGCACCTGAAGTGTCCGGAGAAGTACCTGTTGACAGTGCTCAGAAAATATTGGTGATGTCTTGTTTTGCAGATCTGGGATTGTCATGAACCATGCATCCTTTACAATGTGTCTTCCAAATACAGCGGTCTCTAAAGTGGGGGCCATTGACCTCTGTGTCCTGTAGGGAATCCAACACTTTCTTCTGACTTTTGTGGGCATTGCATAACACAGGTGCATTCACATGCATGCAGGCAATACACTCACACAATAAAATCAAATTAAAAAACTGAAAAAGATCTGAAGAATCCTTAAAGGGCAACCACACCTTCCCTTCTTTCTTGTTTCCAAAAAATGTTTTCTTTCATAGTTCTTATTTCTTTTTGGTCCTTTTGAAATAGGGTCTCCCTGTACCTCCAACTGTCCTGGAACTCACTATGTAGACCAGGCTGGCCTTGAACTCATAGAGATCTGCCTGTCTCTGCCTCCTGAGTGCTGGGATTAAAGGAGTGTGCCACCATGCCTGGCTTTTTCTTTCTTTTTTTTGAGACAGGGTCTCACTTTGTAGCCTGGCTGGCCTGAAACTCACTATGTAAACCTGGCTAGCCTTAACTCATAGAGATCTACTTGCCTCTGCCTCCTGAGTACTGGGATTAAAGGCGTGTGTTACCACATCCAGCTTGAGCTTCTTTTTTAAAAATATTTTTTTTTCATGCCACTGGAATTCTTTTTCTTTTACTTTATTTTTTATTTTATGTATATATGTGTATTGCCTGCATGTAGTTAAGTGCACCCATGTTGTGTAATGCCCACAGAGGACAGAAGAGGCTGTCAGAGCCCCTGGAACTGGAGTTATGGACAGTTATTAGCTGCCATGTGGGTGCTGAGATTTGAACTTGGGTCTTCTGCAAGAACAGTTAGTGTTCTTAACTGCTGAGCCATCTCTCCAGCCCAAGCGTCGTCTTCTTTTTTTTTAAAATTATTTATTTTTATTTGTATGAATGTTTTGCCTGCATGTTTGTAAGTGCATCATGTGTGCACAATACCCATGAGGCCAGAAGTAGGCATTAGATCCCCTGGAACTGGAGTTACAGATGATTGTTAGCTGCCATGTTGGTGCTGGGAACTGAACCCGTGTCTTCTGCAAGAGGAGCAAGTGGTCTTAACTGCTGAGATATCTATCTATCTCCTCAAAGAACAAATTTAATTTTATAACAAAAAAGGATAACGGGGCTGGAGAGATGGCTCAGCGGTTAAGAACACTGACTGTTCTTGCAGACAACCCAGGTTTGAATCCCAGCACCCACATGGCAGCTAACAACTGTCTGTAACTCCAGTTCCAGGGGATACGACAGCCTCAGCTCAGTGTGTATCTCATCCTATCCAGAAACTCATGTGGCTATCCTCTTGCATTGGCCTCTGTCATGGTTGGCTTCAGTTTTCCACTTGACACACCTGGGAAGAAGGAACCTCAATTGCTTCTGATTAACCTATGGGCATGTCTATGAGGCATTTTCTTGATTGTTGAGTCATATGGGAGGTCCCAGCCCACTAGGTGTTGCCACCCCTGGGCTAGTGGTCCCAGATTCTATAAGAAAGTAGACTTGGGGCTGGAGAGAGGGCTTAGCAGTTAAGAACATGGGCTGTTCTTGTAGAAGACCCGGGTTCCAATCCCAGCACCCACATGGCAGCTAACAACTGTCCGTAACTTCAGTTCCAGGGAATCCAACAGCCTCTTGCATGACATGGGTGCACTTACCTACATGCAGGCAATACACACATACACATAAAAATAATAAATAAAAATTTTTTAAAAAAAAGCAGAGTCAGAGGGACGCCCAACTGAGGAATTTCTTCCCTTGGACGGACCTGTGACCATGTCTGAGGAGCATTTTCTTGATTTTTGAGTGATGTGGGAGGGCCCAGGCCACTATAGGCAGTGCTACTCCTGGGCAGTTGGTCCTGAGTTGTATAAGAAATTAGGCTGATTTGGGGGCTGGAGCGATGACTCAGCTGTTAAGAGGACTGACTGCTCTTGCCAAAGACCCAGGTCTGATTCCCAGGACTCACATGGCAGGTAATAACCATCCATAACTCCAGTTCCAGGGAATCTGATGCCCATTTCTGGCCCCACAGGCATTGCACAACATGGGTGCACTTACATACATGCAGGCAAAACACTCATATACATATGATTAAAATTAATTTTAAAAAAAAAAAGAGAAAGTAGGCTGAACAACAGGCCAGAGTAATCCATTAAGCAGCACTCCTCTGTGGTCTGTGCTTCAGTTCCTGACTCCAGGTTCCTGCCTTGACTTCTATCAGTAATGGACTGTGACTTGGGAGTTCTAAGCTGAAATAAACTCTTTCCTCCCAAAGTTGTTTTTTAGTCAGAGTCGTTTATCACAGCAACAGAGAAGCAAACTAGGACATCCTCCATGTGTTGCCTTACAAGCCATCATGCCTGGCTTCCCTTGGAATTATAGCCTGTTGATGGGGATAGAGGTGTAACTAGGAATATAATTTGAAAGAGCCTTCTGAAATTCATGTTTTGGAACTTTGTGTATAGTTATGTTTTTACTTCATAATATGGCCATACTTGCTTTCATTTAAGAAGTTTGAAATTCCTGTAGCAAGTTACCTCATTTTATTCTATGTGTACCCTCTGGCCACTGCTGCTACTTCCAGAGGCCAGAGAATGCCTCTATTTTGAGAGAGAGACTGTAATATGGGGACAGATAAACACGATCACTAGTCTTCCTATTCTGTGTATCTCATCCTATCCAGAAACTCATGTGGCGATCCTCTTGCGTTAGCCTCTGTCATGGTTGGCTTCAGTTGTCCACTTGACACACCTGGGAAGAAGGAACCTCAATTGCTTCTGATTAACCTATGGGCATGTCTATGAGGCATTTTCTTGATTGTTGAGTCATATGGGAGGTCCCAGCCCACTAGGTGTTGCCACCCCTGGGCTAGTGGTCCCAGATTCTATAAGAAAGTAGACTTGGGGCTGGAGAGAGGGCTTAGCAGTTAAGAACATGGGCTGTTCTTGTAGAAGACCCCATCTGGTAGTTGATGGTGTTTTAGGATTGAGGCAACAGGGGACTTTGTGGATAATCAGTTGCCTCCAGTGTTTCTGAGGGTTTGGGGAGGAAGACCTGAGACAGATTGGCACGCTACCTACCCTGGAATCTGTTTCTCATTGCAGTCTACCTCGAGACCTATGGCTGCCAGATGAATGTAAATGACACAGAGATAGCCTGGTCCATTTTGCAGAAAAGTGGCTACCTGAGGACCAGCAACATCCAAGAGGTACTTGAATTTCCTGCATCCCTGTTCCCTGAACCTGGGCTCCTCTGCCATTGTGCAGGTTCTTGGATGCAGTAATTTCAGGAAGAGGGTGCTGTGATAGTTCCTCTAAATGAAGTGTACCATGGGACTGACATATACTATTATTTCAGCAGTTTTGAATTTTTTGATGCTGCTTATCTTCAGAAAAGGAATATTGGACTGGGTACAGTGATGTGTAACTGTAATCTGAGCACTTGGGCAAGAGGATCTAGAGTTTGAGAGGCAGGAGGATCTAGAGTTTGAGGCCATACTAGCTACACAACATGACTGTGCCTCTAAAACAAAACGAAAAACAAAACAAAAAAACTTGTGGGGAGGTAGGGATTGAGGAGTTAGTGTATAATGGATATGGAGCTTTTGTTGGGAAAGATGAAATAGCCCTGGGAGGGGATTGATGGTGATGGTTGCACTACAATGCTCGAGTGTTCTTTTTTTGTTCTTTTGTCTTTGTTTTTTGAGACAGGGTCTCCCCCAGCTGGCCTGGAACTCACTATGTAGACCAGGCTGGCCTGGATTTCACAGAGATCTGCCTGCCTCTGGGATTAAAAATGTGTGCCACCATGCCCGGCTCTGTTCAAGTGTCCTTACTGTTACAGACTGTATCCTAAAAATGGTTAAGATGATAAGATTTATATTATGTGTGTTCTACCATAATAAAAAAAAAAAAAGCAGACGCACTACATGGTAGTGATTCTACAAGACTAATTTCAAAGTTCATGATTTCCCTTCTTTTCTTGCTTTCTGTTTAGGCTGATGTGATCCTTCTTGTCACATGCTCTATCAGGTACAATTTTTTTTTTCCCCCACAGGGAGTGACTATACCGTATGTAATTATGCCACAGCTGATACTGCCATGGTGGCTTACTTATGGAGATGAGCCAGTGACCCCAGGTCAGTTTTTGTCTAGTGGAGATAGTCTTAGTACAACCAGATGACATTAGCTGAGTATGTCCTGTGTGTAGGGTTCCATGTGAACATTAGACATGCATATATGAATTTAATCCTCACAATAGTAATTCTGTGTCTCAAACCCATTTTATCAGGGTTTGGTAGTACACACCTGTAATCCCGACACTGCAGAGGTTGAGGACGAGAAGGTTTGTGAGTTTTAGGCCAACCTGGACTACACAGTGAGACTGTCTCGAAAGCAAACAGTAGCCACAAAAAGAACCAAACCAAACCCCATTTTATAAGGCTGTTAAGTGCTGAGCTTCCCAATTCCCTGAAGTTTTCTGGCTACTAATAGCATATGTTTGTAGTATGTGTGCCTAGTTTGAAGTGTGGCCAATTGTTAGGGGACAAAGTTCTAAAAAGAGGTAAGTGGCATCTCTCAGAAGCTAGGAAGCACTTGGTCATCAGAAGTGAGCATACCGTCTTTTACTTTGTTTTGTGTTCATGTTTCCACAGCTGCCTATACCATTAATACATTGGTCTAATGTGTTTCTTCTTGGCTTCTTTGCATGATACTGAGGTGGTTGTCATGGGAGATTCAGAAATGAATATAAAGTCTGGCTGCAGGGAGCTTGGTCTAACATGGATACTAAGACATACAAATAGCTCTAACATCTGACAAAAAAATATTAGGTAAAAATCAAACAAGCCGGGGTGGTGGCTCACATCTATAATCCCAGTAATTGGGAAGCTAAGCAGATGCATTGCTGTGTGTTCAAGGGTAGTTCAGGCTACATAGTGAGTTTTAAGCTAGCCTGGGGTACAGAGTATGGTAGTATCTTTAAAAAAATTGGTTGTAGCTGGGTGTGGTGGCGCACGCCTGTAGTCCCAGCACTTGGGAGGCAGAGGTAGGTGGATCTCTGTCTTGATTTTTTTTTTTTTTGGAGACAGGATCTCCCTGTAGCTCCCGCTGGCCCAGAGCTCACTATGTAGACTAGGCTGGCCTTGATCTCACAAAAATCCACCAGCCTCTGCCTTCTGAGTGCCTAGCTTGAAGGCCTGTGCCACCACACCCAGCAGTAGTCTTGATTTTGAGATGTGAAGGAAGGGTGTCCTTAGAGGGAAAGTGAATTGTAGAAGTGGTACTTTTTCAGTTGGCTTCTGTGTATCTTCCCAGAGTTAAAGGTAGATACAATTTAAAAAGTTAAGGTAGTTTTAACTTTCTTTCCATTGTCCTGTTCTCTTAGCTTTCTCTGTATTTTTGCCTCTTTGGATCCCTGCAGGGAGAAGGCTGAGCAGACCATCTGGAACCGTTTACATCAACTTAAAGTCCTGAAGACAAAACGACTGCATTCCCGGGTACCTTTGAGGATTGGGATTCTAGGTATCCAGTCATTTCCAGTCTTTTCCATTTTAAGACTTGGGCTCTTAGAGTTTCCTTTAGAGGCCTGGATTCCAGGGTCTGAATCAACTTTATCCACCGCATGCAGATCTTTTACTTAATGTTTGAGGCTGCGATAGTAAATGAGATGAAGCTCCTAAAAGGGCTTTTTGTGGCACTTGAAAGTAACAGATGCTCAGAAGTGGTATATTCTTCCTAGAGTCTGATGGGGTTTACGTAGCACAGAGTGATGGATAGGGGGATAGCATTTGGAGTCTGGAGAGGCAGCAGGAGTGTACCGTGTGGTTAGTTTTGGTTGAACTCCTGAAGTATGTCCAAGTGAAGAGCTAGGTCTGCCTTGACCAGTATGGTAGCCACTAACATGTTTGAAATAAAATTTCAAAGTTCTACTGCTTCGTTGTTTTAGACACATGTCAGCTGCTCAGTAGCCACACCTGAGGGCCATTGGCTTGCACAGCACTTCAGTCATTTCCATTCAGCACATTCCTTCGTCTTATTACAGAGTTCTATTGGACAGTTCGATCTGGGTATCTGGGAAACATATTTCAAAAAAAGAATGCTTGTAGGATTGGCAAGATGGCTTAGTGGGTAAAGGCACTTGCCATGAAGCCTAATCACTTGATTCCCATCCCTGGAACTCGTGTGGCAGAAGGAGAGAATTGACTTCCACAAATAGAACTCTGACCTCCACATGTATGCTGTGGCACACATGTGCCTATATACATACAATAAATGTAAAAAAAACAAAAAAAAGAAAACTTTCTGTATCCTTTCTGCCCCATATTTAGCTTTATGCATAGCAGACTATATCTACTGTTAACTTAATCCTACTTTATGACAAGTCAACACACAGCTAGTGTATCCAGTTACACTGGTTAATCTAGACAGAGATGCTGGAGGATGAAGGGTTAGCTAAAGTGTTTTATTCCTTTTCACTTCATTATAGGTGCTCTTGGGTATAAATCTATTATGAATTTCAGAAACCCCGAGGAGAAGTCTTAAAACAATAATTGTGGCATACATCAGTTGCCATTTTAGTCACTTTTATCTATGTTCTGTGGTATTGAGTATATTCACATACTCATGCAGCCATTACCACTGTCCAGCTCCATAAGCAATAACCTTACATTCCACGCTCCCCCTGGCTCCTGTGATTCATCATTCTATTTTCTGACTTTGAATTTGAATATAATAAGTACCTCTTATAAATGGATTTATAGAGTATTTGTCTTGGTATACTTGGCTTTTGTCACTTTACAGTATTGTCTTCAAGAGTCTTAAGCTACATGTTACAGTGTGTATCAAAATTTCCTTTCCTGTCATGTATGGTGGCACACACCTTTAACCCAGCACTTGAGAGGCAGAGGCAGAAGTAGGTGGAACTCTGTTAGTTTGAGGCTAGCCTAGTGAGGTCCAGGCCAACTAGAGCTACATGGTGAGACACTGCTCCTTTTTTGGGGGGGAGGGAATAGAATTTAAACCCAGGGTTTCAAAACATGCTAGGGAAGTGTTCTGCCACTGAGATATAACCTCTAATTCCATCTATTTCCTTTTAAAGCCAGAATAGTGTTCCATTGTATTTGTGCTGCATTTTGTATATCTGTTCATTCATTGGTGGACTCTTGGGTTGCTTCCACTGTTTTTGTTTTGTTTGCAACAGGGTCTTGCTATATAGCCCTGTCTGGTATGATATTTGATATGTAGTCTAGGCTGTCCTCAAAGTCAGTGCCTTAGTCTCCTGAGTGCTGGAATTACAGGTTTGTACCACCTCATCTGGCTGTGAAAAATTCTTAAAAAATGGTTGTTTCTTTTTTTTTTTTTTTTCCTGTCTTTTTGAGACAGGGTCTCCCTGTATGGAACTCACTATGTAGACCAGGCTGGTCTCGAACTCACAAAGATCCGCCTGCCTCTGCCTCCCAAGTGCTGGGACTAAAGGTGTGTGCCACGACACCCAGCTACTTAAAAAATTTTAAATTGCATTTTATTTTGTGTGTGTGTGGTGTGTCCACATGTTGCAGCACTGGAGCGGAGGTCAGAGGACACTTTTCGAAGTTGCTTCTCCTACCATGTGGATCCCAGAATTAAATTCAGGTGGTCAGGGTTAGCAGCAAGCACCTTTACAGGCTGATGCATCTGACTGGCCCAGACTGTTAATAATTCTTAAATGTTACCAAAGGGAGTGTTCTAGTTTCATTTCTGTTGCTGTGATAAAATGCCCTGATGAAAGCAACTTAGGGTCAGAAAGGGTTTATTTGGCTTATTATTTCAGGTTACAGTACATCATTGAGGGGAAGGCTGTTAGATTTAGGAATGCAGAAAAAGGAAGGAGTTTAGAGTTTAGAACTAAGAGCCAGAACCAGACTTGAAATAGGCAAGGAATGTGTTCCTTTATTCCAGGAACACAGTGACTGACAGATACCCTTCCGAGGAAAGAAGGCATCTACAACTAAGGGAGGGGCGGTTTCCTTTTTTGTTTTTTTGGTCTTTTTCAGACAGCGTCTCCTGCCTGGAACTCACTCTGTAGACCAGGCTGGCCTCAAACTCACAGAGGATCCCCCTGCCTCTGCCTCCCGAGTGCTGGGATTAAAGGTGTGCATCACCACACCCAACAAAACTTTTTATTTTATGGGTATGCGTGTACTGCCTGCATGTAGGTAAGTGCACCTGTGTTGTGCAGTGCCCACGGAGGTCAGAAGAGGCTGTCGGATTCCCTGGGACTGGAGTTACGGACAGTTGTTAGCTGCCATGTGGGTGCTGGGATTTGAACCTGGGCCTTCTGCAAGAACAACCAGTGCTCTTAACTGCTGAGCCATCTCTCCAGCCCCCAGAACTGTTCTTTTTAAGAGAGATGATGTGGTAGTTAACCTTCAATGCCATCTTGACTGGATTTAGACTCCCCTAGGAGACACATTTCTGGGCATACCTCTGAGGGAATTTTGACAGAGGACTAACTGAGGAGGGAAGACCCACTCTGAATGTGAGTGGCACCATTCTATAGTCTGGGGACTCAGACTGAATAAAAGGGGAAAGGAAGAAGCCATGCCATACAGATGCCATAATTCCTTGCTCTCTGCTTCCTGATCCTGATCCACAGAGATGTG